CATTGTACAATACACCAGAGACTTTTTGGTCTGAATATATTTTCCTCATTTAATCTTCTTAGCAGACCACTATGGGAAGCATATGCCATGGTTGTAATCTTCCAGAAAACTTTCCAAAGAGGGGAGATGTGTTTTATAAAGATATAACTAAAACTCTTTTCTAATCACCCATGATACTTATGGGCTTGTTTTTAGGTTTATAATGCAAATTTAAATTGCAGGATCTATGGTGATGTAGGGGACTGAGGAAAAGAAAAATAGGGGTCTATGAGTGAAATGCTTAGGAAGCAGTATTTGGAAAAAACTCACTGTTTGCTGGTGAGAAAATGGATGTCTATCTCCTCTAAGTAATACTAACAGATTAAACAATCTTTTTTCTAGTGTTCGTGTATATGGGAGTGTGCTGGTACACATGTTTGCATATTTGTGGAGGCCAGAAAACAATCTTCAGTATCATCATTGGGAATTCAGTCCACCTCCTTGACACAAGGTCTCTCAGTTAGTTTGCTAATTAGCCTAAGGATTATATGTCTCTGCCTTCCCAGTGCTGGAAGCAGAAGTCCACCACCACACTTGACATTCTTACATGTGTTCTACAGATCCAAACTCTGGTCCTCCTGCTTGCAAGATAAGGGCTTTACCCACGATCCATCTTTCCCAATACCCTTCGAACAATCTTTCTTGTTGTTGTTGTTTTCTGAGACAGGGTTTCTCTATGTAACAGCCCTGGCTGTACTGGAACTCACCTTGCAGACCAGGCTGGCCTCAAACTCACAGAGATCCAACTGCTTCTGACTCCCAACTAGTAACATTAAAGATATACGCCGCCACCACCACCCAGCCCTCTGAACAATCTTTAATCACCAATGTCAGAAGGATTCATGAAAACTGGTTCTTGGGATTCAATCTTTCCTAATTATCAAGTTCACAGTTACAAATATTTGCTCTGATGATTAAGTAGAGTTGTATCTAAAGTAGATAAGGCAGAACTTGAAACTGGAGGCATAGAAAGCTAAGAAAAAAATTCAGCCAAGATAAAGTCTAAACTTCAGAGAAAAGGAGGTTCACACTGCTGATGCAGGAACCAATGGGAGAAAGTCCAAATTTAGGACAAGAGATGGATTTGCTTGCATATACATGACTTTAAAGATCAGCAAATGACCTGGAGATATTCAATAGTTAAAACTAGCTTCTGAAAACTGGGTGTGGTGACAGCCTGTAAACCCCAGCACAGTGAGATGGAGCCAGGAAGACAGAAGTTCAAGGTCATCCTTGGTTCCAAATCATGTTCAAGGCCAGCCTGGGCTACATGAAATTGTGAGACTTGAGAATACACAGACAGAAATATCACATATGAAGATGCCCAATATGAAGGCTAGACACTTATTACCATCTACACCAGTCAGATCAAATCATCTCATCTTCAATCCGTGCCTCTGAAATAATTATAAAAACAGATACTTTACTTCACAACTGGTTAACTTCTCATCGGTTTTTTTTTTTTTTTTTTTACTAATGCTCAGGTTTCATTTTCCCAAATTCTATTTAGTTTCCAGGAGGAGAGTGGCACCTGGATCTTACCTTCTTCTTTCTCTCAATACCCAGTTTTAAGCACCATGCCTAAAATAGCCCGTACTTGAAAGACAGCCTGAAAGAACAGACTTGGCATGTGTTCAACACTACTTGGAAGGTGTTGTGTCTTCTTAGAGGTGACCGCTGAAGCAATGAAGTTGAATAACATTTCCAAAGGAGAGAAAAGAAAATTAAGTAGTCCTTATATAAATGTCTGCTACTCAGTTACTGTTTCTACTGGAAAACATGTTACAGTCTGATTCTTTATTTGAAATCTTAGTAACTGTCACACCCTAAAAAATCAATAAGCCTAAAAAACAATAAAAAATAAGATAAGAAGACACTCTTGTCAGGTGATCTCCCTAATGAAATCTCTCACTCTCAACAATACTGGCAATTTTGGCCTAACCATCTCCATCATAGGGGGATGTCTTCTGTACTGTTAAGATTCCTAGAGGATTATTTAATATAAGGGTAGGCACATCATGATGGGGAAACAAAGCAAGAAAATCTCTGCTACAGGTTTCAGATGTTATTGTTGTTTACAAAGGGTCAGAATACACAGCCCTGGTTGTCCTGAGACATACATAGATCTGCCTACCTCTGCCTCCAACTTGCACGGGACATCATACTAGCTTTTTGATGTTTTAGATTACATTGATTAGTTTATTGTGTGTACACATGCATGAGTGCATACCACATGGGTCCTGGATCTGGATGAACAAGGGTCATTAGGCTTGGCAGCAAGCACTTTTACCCTCTGAGCCATCTCACCAGCTCTCAGGCAGCATCTTTAAACTTTACTCCCCTCCCCCACTCCACCAAAAGTATCACCAGGTTTTGCCAAGTGTTTCTTCTATGATATAACTCCCCCTAGTTAAGAACCACTTCCTAGGCTGAAAGGATGACTCAATAGTTAAGAGCATATGCTTGAGGCTGGAGAGATGGCTCAGTGGTTATGATTACCGACTGCCCTTCCAGAGGACCCAGGTTCAATTCCCAGGATCCACATGGCAGCTCACAACTGTCTGTAACTCCAGTTCCAAAGGATCTGAAACCCTCACACAGACATGCAGGCAAAAACACCAATGCACAGAAAATAAAAATAATAATAATAATAAAAGCATATGCTCTTCCAGAGGAGCCAAAATTGGTTACCAGCACTCACAGTAGGTGGCTCACAACCATCTTTACCTTAGCTCCAGAGCATCTTCTGGCATACAAATGACACACATTCACACAAATACACATTAAAAATACAAATAAGAATTATTTCCCTAAAGCTAACTGAACTTCTCACAGATTACTCACAGATTCTTTCCCTGACATCTATAAACACATCCGTTAATTTACTTGTTCCCCAGTGACTTATTCTATACATTAAATTGTGCTAATAATTTACAAGCCGTTTTCCTTAAAAGTTAAAATTGGTGAGAACCCTTAACGGCCAGGCAAATCATAGAGTAATTCACCCTAAATGTATTATCATACTCAATCCTGAAAGGTAAACTAATACAGTATAATAAAAGTAGGAAATCAATTGCAGAAGTCTCTGCATAAAACTCAAGATTTGTTCCCATAGTCAAAATACCTAATCTTTTAACTTCACCTCTGCAGATGGCACTGAGTTAGTATTAAGTAAAATGAACTGTATTCATCTAGATTATTTACAAGTTTTAAATAGATACAAAGGACAGATATGTGCCTGTTTCCTTTTTTGGATAAATTGAGATAATAATAGAAATGATTTTATTGGGTTGTTATGGTATTGAGTTGAAAGATGTAGAATGCAGAAACAGAAACTAGCATATACATATTTAAGTGTTAAACATTACCATAGAACCTTTTTAAAGATACATAGGCCGGGCGATGGTGTCCCACGCCTTTAATCCCAGCACACGGAAGGCAGAGGCAGGCAGATCTCTGTGAGTTTGAAGCCAGCCTGGTCTACAGAGAGAGTTCCAGGAAAGGCTCCTAAGCAATACAGAGAAACCCTGTCTCAAAAAACAAAACAAACAAACAAAAAAAAACCATACATAAGCAAACAGAGGTATTTCTCAAATATTGTGTAAACACACTATAATCAAATAATAAACTTGCATCCTGATACCCTGGGTTCCAATTTCCCTTCCTTAATTGAACTTCAATATTCTCACCTGTAAACTATGAATAATCCCTGCCGTTCTTTCATAGAAGCTTCTTTTTATCATTACTACAGATGGTAAGCATTGTTAAAATGAATCATTATTATCTATAAAGTATTGCCTTTTTAAAAGAAAATCTAAAGAGACAGTATTTACATAATGGGGGCGGGACCACATGTGAAGGTCAGAGAACAACGGAAGTCCAGCACGTGGGTCCTGGAGTCTGAACTCAGGTCATCGGACTTGGCAGCCAATGACTCTTATCTACTGAGCCATCCCACAGGCACAGATAATCTAAAATTTAAAATAAAACAACCTCAGAGTTTTTGCGCACAAAAACCCTCTAAGAATTTTAGAGTAACCATACTTTAAAGCCACTGGAAAGGATTTGGTCATCACCCATTTCACCAAGAGCATGATATAAGGTCCCTACCTAACCTTTTCTTTTCAACTGTGAACAAATTATTCTTTTGAATGGAAAAGATATGTTGAAATAAATGGGATCTGTCTCAGTAATAGCCTCACAGTTTTAAATCAGCTTGATGTGTCTATTTTTAGGTTGAAAAAAATCACTGCCTTCCAATGAGCAATTCAAAGGCATCAAAGGTTGCACACGCTAGACTTATTAGGAAGAAATGCTTTTTAACATAAACGGCTTTTTATAAGTGAAACTTGCAACATCAATTACATGTGTGTCAGGTGTTGGGAGAGCGCTTTCTCCACTGTTGCCAAATATGCAAAGAAAAGCAAACAAAAACTTTCCTAAACATTTAGCCAAATGCTATCCTAGCCAAAGTCTCTGAGTCGGATTGTGGTCCCGGTTTGGGGGGGTGGGGTCTCCGAAGATGATTTCAGAGAGGTGACCAAAAGAAGGTCGAAAACACTCCTCCGCAATGCCTTCCGAAAAACCCCAAGAATTTTATCTTTCACCAGGGTCCAGGGGGCACTGGACTCCTTCCCGCTATACCCCAGGCCAGGATGCAGCTCCAGACGAGTCCTTTGGGGTCGCGCTACAGCGGCCCGCGAGGACTCGCACGTGGCGCCAGCGGTAGGCTCGGCCCCCGGACCGGCCGCTCTGATTGGTCAATGGCTGCCAGGGCCGGGAAAGCACCTGAGCACGGTTCAAACCAAGGGGTCAATGTGCAGCCACGAGGGCAACTCCCCGAGCTGCAGGTCCCGCGTGTTGGCCCCACGAACGCAAACACCACGCAGCAGCGCCAGCCCACGTGGGCCTTGGCTCGCCGCAAATGCCGTCTCCCTCCTCCCCACGTTGGCGGCTCTCACCTCAGCGCTTGTGGCGCTTCCACCTTCAGCTTTTTGGGCTTTGGCTCCTCAGCAGCTGCCATCTTCGCACTCTCACCCTAGTTTGGCACTATCGCGCGTCCCGCCCCTCAGCCCTGTGGCTCCGCCCCCTCTACTCGTCACCGCCCCTTATCCTAAGCCCCGCCCCTTTTAGCCCCGCCCAATCCGTGACTCTCTAGTCCATAACCATTGGCTCTGCGCGTATCTGATGTCCCGTCCATCCAGGGCCTCGAATACTACGGTAAGGGTCCCCAAACAGAGTTAGGCTGCTGGTGAGCGCCTGCGCTCAGGGAGTGCCAACCTCCCCGTTCTTCCAGACCTCGAGCAACGCAGAAGATTCAGATCCTCAACCTCGGGAGACATTGTTCCTCTCACTGAACGCCTTTCCGCCCATTTTATCTTCCTAGTCCTGCGGCCCTCCTTGGCGTCTCTGAGGCTGCTAGTCAGGCAATCTGTTGGGCACCCCGAACACGGGGTCCTCGCTGCTTTCTCTGCTGCTTCAGCTTCGGTCCAGAGAGGACCCGGCACCGAATCACTGACTCGCCCAGGTGTCGGGGTGAGTGTGAGGGCGGGGAGTCTGCGGGCTGGAGACCGCTCAAAAGCTGGGGAGTAGACTGCATAGCTCAAGCTCAGGGCACTAGCCTGGGCTTCAGCGGCGTCCCTGCTACTGTCGGCCAGGGCCAGGGCCGGGCCTCCTTACGCCCGGCCTTCCGGGCTTTCTAGCCAGCTGGGCCGGAAGGGAGCGGCACACCTGCCAAGTAGGGTTCTCGAACCCTGGACCCCAGGCGCAGGGGGAAAAGGTCTTGTTATCTACAGTGAGGTGGAATACCGATGACTTGAATTCACCAGCCCCCAGATTTGGCCTTGGAGGGCAAAGCTTCTGCTGAGTCTAAAAGAACGTCCTGTTTAGAGGGTGGCATCTGGGTGAGCGAACCCGGGATGGGAAAACCGTAAGAAGGGTGTTGCAGCTTCTCGTGAGATAGATGACAGGGCTGTAAACTGGGAAGATGGAAACGTAATGAGTGGTGGGCTTATTGTCAGTCGTGGATTTGTTTGATCCTGAAGCTTTAACTTCATGGTTGAGAAGTTGGTCACTGTAAAAATCCGGCCTTCTCAAAGGAAAAGAAATGGTTGTGGTTTTTTTTTTTTTTCTTTTGTTTGTTTGTTTTGCAACACTTGGGATTTTGACTTGGAAACACAGTACACAGGAAAAGGGAATTTCTTGCAGCCAAATATACAAATCTAACTTTCTATTGAAAGAAGGAAATGTCCCTTTTCCTCAGAGAGGACAAGTTCTTTCACCTATTTTACCAGTGCTATTATCTGCTGCTTCTCAGTGTCCTTCTTTCAAATTTTTTTCATTTATGTTTGTTGTATGTGTGTTAAATGCCACAGTAAACATGTAGAAGTCAGAGGACAACTCTTGGGACTGGCTTCTCTCCTTCATGAGATGCTTGGGACTCAAACTCAGGGCCTTGGGCTTGGCAGCAGACACTCTTTCCTGATGAGCTATCTCAGTCTCCTTTGTTTTTACCTACTTGCCACTTCTATCTAAACACCACACTGCAATGTCTCCTTTCCAACAGTCTACAGAGCTACCCCTAAAATTACCTCAACCAAGATTGCCGATGTACGCTTGGCCTTAAACCGTATATTCTTGGTGTGGATTAAAAAAAACAAACAAAAAATACTACTTTTTGAATCAGGAGAGATGGCTCACCAGTTAAGAGAGTTGGCTGCACTTTCAGAGGACCTAAATTCAATTTCCAGCACTCTGTGGCCAACAGTTATCTGTAACTCCATTCCCAGAGGATCTGACCCTTTTGGCCTTCTTGGGCACTGCACGCACGCACAGTGCACAGATATGCATGCAAACAAAACACCTGTACATATAAAAATTTAAAGAAAATTTAAAAACCTACTTGGTGAGGCACCAAAACTTTTTCATGCATGAGACTACAATATTATTTTTTTCTAAATTTGTGTGACAGGAGTTGGAAGATGATGCTGAAGAGATGGCTCAGTAATTAAGAGAACTTGTAGAGTTCAGTTCCTATCACCCACATTGGATGACTCACAACCACCTATAACAACAGGGGATCTGATGTACTATTCTGGCCTCTGCAGACACCTGAACTCTCATGGCATATACTCACAGAAGTGCATACACATAAAAACAAAATTAGAATTAAAAAAAAAATGGGTTGTGAGCTGCCTAGGATGGGTGCTGGGAACCCAACTCTGGTCCTCTGCAAAAGCAGTGACTGTTTTTAATCCTACTCTACTGTGCCTCCAACTTCAGGAGATCTACTGGCCTTCTTGGGCACTGCACTTACATGCACAAACCAACACTTGACTACACATTTAAATTCATGAAAAAAATCTTCAATTTGTAGGGAGCTGTGTGACTGACTGAGGGGTAAGAGATTAGACTTTTAAAAGATCCTTGGTAGGGAAAAGAAAATTGTAAAACTTTTTTTGAGATTTATCTTTATTACTTTTCATTGTGTGTGTATTTGCATGTGGGTATGTGCTCATGAGTACAGTGTCCGTGGATATCAAGAACAATGGATCCCCTGGAGCTGGGGTTAGGCTCTGCCTGACATAGGTGGTAGTGCTAGGAATTGAATCTGAGGATTTTTTTTCTTTCAAGACATTTCCAAGATGTGGTTTCTCTGTGTAACCCTGGAACTCACTTTGTAGACAAGGCCCTTCTCTGCCTCCTGAGTGTTGGGAGTAAAGGTGTGGGGCACCACACCCAGCCAGAGTCTAAGTCTTCTGTACCTTCTCTTTCTCCCATTCTTCTGGAAATGCATTACCATACTTTAATTACTCTAAATCTCCCACAACTCTTCCCCGCTTCAACTACATCTTAGTCTGTTTTTAGTTCCACTTCCTTGACTCACATGCTACTCAAATACTGTTTTTGCTTTTGTGTGTGTTTCTTACTATGTGCATAATTTCTTTGTATATAATCCTTATATTTGTAATTCCCATTAACAACATACCAGTCTTTTTGAAGCACCATCCAGTGATTGAATAATATACTTATTTGAATCAAATATATTATGAATTGGGTCAAATTTATGTATGGCTAGGTCTTAATACATCAGATTTCATCTTATTTCTACACAACATAGCCAAACTTAAATACATTTTTGCTCAAAGCCTGTTCGTTTTTTGGTTTTTTTTGTTTGTTTGTTTGTTTTTTCTTTTTCATTTTACTCCATCTTGTGAACCTTTTAGTCCAGGCCCCTACTGTTGCTCATCTCGTGTGTGTGTGTGTGTGTGTGTGTGTGTGTGTGTGTGTGTGTGTGTGTGATACATATGCTATGTATGCATTTATATAGTACACCATGTGAGTACAATGCCTGTAAAGTCCAGAAGAGGACATTGAACCCCTGGGGACTAGAGTAACAGACAGTGGTTCTCAACCTGTGAGTTGCCACCCCTTTGGGGGAGGTGGTCTAAGACCATTGGAAAACACATCTTTACATTATGATTCATAACAGTAGCAAAATTACAGTTATGAAGTAACAACAAAAATAATTTTATGATTGGGGTTACCACAACATGTGTTTTAAGGGGTGGCAGCATTAGGAGGATTGAGAACCACTAGTTGTAAGGGTGCTGGGAGTCAAACCTTGAGCCTCTGGAAGGGCTGCCAGTTCTCTGAACTGGCAAGTCATTCAGCCCCACTATCACACATCTTAACTGGTGTTACATAAGTCAGTGCCTTGTAACTCAATTTCCATAGTGTACTTAGCTTAATCTCTCTAGAAATGTAAATCAGATTTGAATATTTCCCCTCAAAATAAAAAATAAAATTGGGAAATTACATTACACTGAGAACAACAACCAAGGCTAGCCTGGCCCATGACCAGTGGCTGTTTACATATCTTTACCTTTCATCCCAGCACTTCTTCAACCTTAAGAGTTGCAAAATTTGTTTTGGATTTCTTTCATGTGTTCTCTTGTACCTCTCTATACCTTGAAGATTCCTGTAGCTCACTGTATTGTCCCTATCGTAGAATTTTTTTTTTACTATATTTATATTTGCAACTGAATAATGTAAGTTTAGAAATTTTTTGCTCATCCTCATATCCCCAAATAAAACAAAGAACAGTTTGTTGAAGAGGGTGGGGATGGTCAAGACTCTGGTTATGTCATTTGTGAGTGTATTTGTGCAGGTGCATGCAACTGCAGAGGTCCCTGTTTGTGTGGGACCAGAGGGTTAAGTTTAGTGTCTTTCCCTATAGTCCTCCACCTTGTTTTCTGAGACAGGGTCTCACTGAACCAGTCAGTCACTGACTGGCTAATGGCTGGCCAGAAAGCTCTAAGGATCTGCCCATCTCCAACACCCCCACCTCACCCCATCCCTACTACACTGTTAGGGTTACAAAAGGAAACCACCAGCTCCTGTTTTTATATGGATGCTGGGGATCTAAAGGTTCTCCCACTTACATGGCAGGCACTTTACTGACTGGGCCATCTTCCCAGCCCACATTCTCTCTCTTTAGATATCAGCCATTCTGTGCCTCCATTATGCTTTGTGCAGAAGGAACATCAAGTGTGATGAATGGTTTTTGTTCCTGTTGCTTGCAAGGCTGAGGCAAGGGATTACTTGAACCCCACAAGTTCAGCAACATAAGACCATATCGAAAAGGAAAAACAGAAAACACTTGACTTTCAAAGATATTTTGACTCTTGTAATTGTATTGCTTGTAAGACCTCAGGATGAATGCACATTTAGTAAAGAGGATTCATGAAGCAGTTAAACTACAATCAAAATTCTGATGGGAGTGTTTTATGATTCAAATGGTTGTGGTGGTCCCTGTGCAGTTTTCTAGGAAAATTCAATAAAATGGGTAACAAAATAATTGCTAAACACATAAGTGGTAAAGAAATTAGCTAATTTTTACTGTACTATGTGATTTTGCTTAATCGTTGTATGCATTAGGCAATTGGCCATGTTAGGATAGAAAAACTAAGGTCTCTTTTCTTGTTATAGAAAGTTAAGATGGGTTTTGAAGCCAAGTGCTGTTGAATGCCTGAAATGTTATGCTTTCATCTCAGCACAA